AGAAAACTCCAACTTCAGTGCCAGTGTCCAGTGAGATGTTTGTCCATGTCTCTGTCAGGACGTCCTGTAAGTTTCTTCTGCTGAGCTGTGACAACAGCGCTACTGTTCACGTCCTCAAAGTATCTCAGAGACGGACATTGATGCCGGATGGGTCTGTAGAGTCGCTTTGAGTGCGTGACAAGTGAGGTGGTGTTGTGTAGAAAGTGGTTTGTGATCCTCTGTGTTGAGAGCTGCTTTCAGCATCAGCGTCTTTCCTCTTCAGCTCAGCGATCTCTGCTGGCAGCTTCTCCTGAAGCTCTTTGACTCGACCGGCTTCAGTTTCCTGCTGGAATACTGATTCTGCTGCCTTCACATCAGAGCACGTCTTTTCTCATGGAGACGGGGCATCAGCTCAGTTGAAGATCTTCTCGCTGTCCTCCACTTGCTTCATCAGCAGAGCCGTTTGAGGCCTCCACCCTGTTGAAGCAAGCTTACACATCTTTACTGCTGTTCGCGACCTGATTCTCTGCTGGAATCTTCTTGTCGCCTCAGCTGGAGCTTCTCTCTGCCTCTCAGTCACTTTCTGCTGCAGCTGAGGACTGTGTCGTGGCCTTTATGTTCCTCCACAGAGCCAGAGATAACAGATACACTGCTGATCGGTGCGGCAGAACATCTTCATCAACCTCATCGTGACGAGAGCAATGTTTCTGCTGGAGCTTCTCGGAGGGCTCACCCAGCTTGTGTTTCTTTAACTGAGCTACATCATGATGAGGCTGCAGGTGATATCTCACAGTAAGAGACCAGACAAACCAGACAGGATTTAACAGCTTTCAGTTTCCTCCCAGTGCACGACATCACAGGCCACGTCTTCAGGTCCAGCATAGCAGTGATCAGCAGCAGCAGCTTGGCAGTCATCTTCTTCAGCTGTCCACTAAAGCTGCTAACATGGTGTTTTTCCCCAGGACAGGCCTCGGTGTGAAGGTCTGCCTACACTGAGGGCAGCTGTGGATTCCTCTTCTTCATCCCTCGTTCATCCCAGAAGCTTTTAACAAGTTTCATGCAGTAGCTGTGTCCACCCAGGAACAGCCACCGGACTTCAGTAGATCCAGACAGATGAGACAAGACAAGGATTTCCAGCTGATCTCCTTTCTGCGCCATTTCAGCTCCTCCGGTGACAACGACTGTCTGAGTTTCACTTCCTCAGAACTGAAACTAGTTTTGAGCTCTGATCTAAAACAACATGTGTCTCTGCAGTGAACGGGCCTGTCAGCTCTCGCACTTCACCACATGTTGGCTCACCCATCTTCAAACTGTAGATCTGAAGGGAGGGAACAAGAAACACATGAACAGAGTGGAGCTGGCTGTGTTTGAGAGCAGGAAGAAGAGGGAGGGGCATCAGGCTTTTGACTCAGTCAGATAGGTTTGATTGCTGTGTGTCTCTGCAGACGGACTGCCACACACAGATAACAACAGCAAAGTCCAGTCAGTGTGTTAGAGAACTGATCCCTCTGGTATGACTTGAACAGCAGCAGCACAGTATAGAAATCACAACACACCAAGTTTCTCCTGTTCTGTAATTAATCAAAGACTTTCTATGTTGCTTTAATCAACAACAAACATGATAGAAATGTTTAAATGTGTCCGTCCTTCAACAGTGACAACACAGGATCTAGAGACAGATACTAGAGTTTGTGCTTTTCTAATTTGTCTTATGAACTTACCAATTTTAAATAACAATGAAACACTAATTCACCAAAAGTGACTGTTAGATTCATCATGAGGCAGATGGTAGAATAGAAGAAACACTCAGTACATTTAATCACAGGTTTATTTATTAAAAACCTTTTTAATGACGACAATGAAGTTCTGAATAAAACTAAATGAACATGAACGTGGTTGTGTGTGTGTGTGTGTGTGTTGTGTGTGTGTTGCTGTGTGTGGCTGTGTGTGTGTGTGTGTGTGTGTTCGTGTGTGGTGTTGTGTGTGTGTTGTTGTGTGTCTGTGTGCTGTGTGTCTGTGTGTGTGTGTGTGTGTCTGTGTGGTGTGTTGTATGTGTGTGTGTGGTCTGTGTGTATGTGTGTCTAGTGTGTATGTCTGTGTGTGTGGTTGTTTGTGTGTGTGTGTGTGTCTGTGTGTGGATGTGTGTGCTGCTGTGTGTGTGTCTGTGTGTATGTGTGTGTGTTGTGTGTTGTGTGTGTGTCGTGTGTGTGTGTGTGTGTGTGCGTGTGGTGTGTTGCCTTGTTGTTGTGTGTGTGTGTCTGTGTGTGTGTGTGTGTGTGTTGAAGTATGACACAGCAAAGAGAGCTGGTTGTTTTGAAGACATCTCCCTATTCATTCTCTATGGGAATTTTTCAGCCTTTTATCAGCATTTACGTTGCCATGGTTACTCGAACCGCTAAGAATGAATTTGCATTTCTTCAGTATATTATATTTTATGAGACAGAGAAGTTGAAGTTTGAGATGATTTAATCTGTTTTACAGTATTTTTTACTTTGTCTTCCAAAACAAAAGGTTTACTTTACAATATGAAGCTTGTGTTAATATTTCATTGATTGACACTTCATTTTTTAGGATATCTTACTTTAATTTTATGGTTTTTGTTTGGCCGCTGCTGCCAGTCATTTGACTGTTTCTTTTACATTTTATTTTCAGAGTGTGGACCTGCTCTGGTCAAATCCTGATTTTATAACTGCAACGTCGTCTGACAAACTCACCAAACACACAAATTAAAGACAAAGACTTCAGCTGGATTCACTGTAACGTGATCATTTATAGAGAAACAGAAGATATCTTCCTTATTCAGTCTCTAACACAGAGCACAGCCTCTGTCTGGATCCACAACAGCTCAGTCTTTATTTACTTTAACAACGTAACAGACTTTTATCAGAGGCAGAGCTTTAACTCTCCCAGGGGTCATCAGGCACAGTCGGTATGTACCAATCCTACATGGACGACAGGGGCTATGTTTCCATCGGTGATCAGAAATCTGACTGGATCACTCCCACGTTTGGAGTCCCCCATGTGTTGGGCCACTATTGTTCCACCTGCTCCCTCTAGGTCAAATCATACATCACAATACCGTTACTTATCCCAGCTACGTAGATGACACGAATCACTTTCACCAGGTGACGATAGTCGCTTGGACTCTCAAAACTTAGAGCGGGTAAATGGATGCAATTAAATTTCATTCAATTAAATAAAGACAAGACAGAATGAAGAATGAAAGTTGTTGTTACACCTGGTGCAGGCTGGGTAACCATAAACACAGGATAGACTCTAATGCAACACAGTTCAGTGGTTTAATAAACTAGAATCACCTCTTCACGGTCGTATCCCTCCGCCACTCAGACTAGATCGAGGTTACATCCCTGTTTATCCAGAGTCATAGAAAATATCAACCATCTTTGTGAAATGTTGTCATAATTGCTGAGAAGTCTTGCGTAATGGCTAAAAGGTGTTTTGTGACTCACTGACCTTTGACCAACAAAATCGAATCACTTCATCCTCGAGTCCAAGCGAATGTTTGTGTTACAGAGATATCATGTCCACGAGAATTGGATGGACGGACAGACAACCCAAAAACCATATACCTCTGGTCCCGGCTGTCACTGGCACAGAAGCAGAAGAAGAGGAATGTGTGCAGGAAGGTCAGCCAATCCAAACACAGACAAATTCCCGCAAAGCAGAGGCAAGAATCCAAAATCCACAGAAAGCAGGAGAAAGGGTCAAAATCCAAGCAAACGCAAAGATCCTAGAAAAGAAGCAGACGCAGTAACTGAGCAACATATGATCTGTTGACAACCGAGAAGGGGAAGACGTCGATATACAGCAGACTAATTAACTAACGAGACACAGGTGACACAGAAAACAGTAAGTAAAACTACACAACATACACACAAGGTCAGAAATTTTCAAAATAATACTCTTTATTAAAAAATTAGAAATCTGAACTTCAGCAGCCAAATCAAGGCAAAAACTAAATCAGCGTTTTTATCACCTCATATCAGATCATTCATGCCTTCATCTCCAGCAGGGTGGCCTAGTCACAGCCCTCTGTCTGCTCTTTAACAAAAACATCGTGAGACAACTTCCGCTCCTTCAGCTGCCAGAGTTCTAACAAGAACCAGGAGATTTGCCAGAACATCAGTCCTGAGATTTTAAAGAGCTGCTGGTTTGTACATCACTTTATAAACTCTGGCCAAAACACATGTGTGATTTCCTTGAAGAGTATAAAGACTCTCAGACCTTCAGAAAGCCGTCAGACGGTAAAAACCTCCAGGAGCTGCTTTTGGCTGCACACATCGAACCACCTGAGAAGAACCAAGGGAGGGTGAGATGGAGCAGGAGATTGTTTGAAATGTGCTACAGAAATAAAGGATATCATACATCCAAAGTGGGGGCAGTTCTACCTAATTTAATCCACCTTTCAAAAGCATGTGGAGTGACCCTTATTCTCTGTCTTCTCCCTGAACTGTTGCTTGGACTGAACTTCATTGGTATGAAGTCGACTGACTCCATGATGCTGAGATCAGGGATCTGTGGGGCCCAGACCATCTGTTGCAGGACCACTGGTGCTGGTTGCACAAAGTTAAGACTCTGTTTAAAGTGTGAATTAAGGTTTCCTTAAAGTAAAAAGAGTTGCACAAAACACCCTCAAGTCTTCTCCTTATGGTTTCCCTTAAAAGGAATCACTTAAAGAATCACTTAGAGTCAGGCAAACTGTTGAACAAAAGACCTTAGCAATCAAAGTAAGGAAGAAAACACTAAAGGTACCTCTGATTCTATTTTAACTGCAAGTTAAGTCTATAGTGATAAACGAAGAGAACCCAATGGACACTCTTAATGACGAGGAATTGATTCTACAACACAGATTTTACCAGAAGTCAGGTTATTTGATTTGTCCGACCCCCGACCCTCTAGAGATCTAGATCACTCTGCTTTCATGATCTTTCCAGTGAGGTACAGTCCAGGTGTTTCATGTCCACAGATCAGCTGTGTGCCGGGTCAATCACCGAGTTTAAACTCTCTCACCGTCTGATCAACGCAGTGGTGAAGTTTTGTCAAAACCACAGGAGATAGTGACGCACTTCTTTAATATCTCCGGCTTCCTAAAAGTGATAACAGGTGTCACAAGTGCTAATGGCAGGAAATCAACAGTCTCCATGGAAACAGTCGAATTTTACAGGTGTAAAATCTTTATTCCTAAACAAAAGGAAACCTTTAAAGAGATTTTTTTGCAACACCCTTAATGAACTCCCTCGGCTAAGAAGAAATTAAACCTTAAGTGTCAGACTTAAGTAGAGAACTTAAGCTGCAGGATGAATCTGGGACCAATCAGACGCCTCCTGATGGGACTGACACTGTAGTGTGCATCACTCCCAGTCAGATGTTGTAAAACTGGAGTATTAATTGTAAAGGCTCGTGCGTGACTCAGTCCTGTGTGTGTCTCTGTGTGTGATGTTTTGCAGCGTGATGGCAGGTCGGAGGCAGAGCCGGTGGAGACTGAGGCTCCTGATCCTCTTCAGCCTCGTCATCCTCACTGAACCGTTTAGTAAGAAACATTTGACATTTTAACGAAGCTCAGGTTCAGACTCTGTTCTACATCTTTAAAGTTGTGACCCTTAAGATTCAGTCCTGGTTGATTTGGCAATACCTGTGGTTACCATGGTAACACCACAACTCTGAATAGGGAAGACACAACTTGTGTGAAATCAGTACAGCAACTGTCTCTCACTCACCTCAGTGAATCAGTGACTGAGGCACAGACCAGGACAAGAGCTCCCCCTACAGGCCGTTTAACAGAAGTGATTTTTATTGATTTGAATTCTGAACTTCCTCGTTTTACTTTTACCACAGTAAGAGAGCAAAACTGTCAGGACACATTATAACTCAGATAACATCAATCACACACTACATTAATTAATGTCTTTTCTTTCATATGATCCACGACAGTAACAGTGAGTGTGCTTTAATAACAGCAAACACTCAGCTGGCGTCTCTGTTGGGTTTTACTGCAGACGTCAGTCAGTAAGAATGAGCATAAGAAAAACCTGCAGCTGATCCTGTGGATCATTAAATGTGACGTTTGCTTCAACTTCAGAGGTGAGAGATGAAGAGTGGCAGCAGCTCGGCCCAGACATCGCTGCACTGCACCGCCTCAGAGGACTGCCTCAAAACATGTTTCATGAAAGGCTGAAGGAGCCTTCACACCACAGGTATCTGGGTCAATGTCTGCAGCTGTTAAGACTCTGGGACACTGATTATATGCAAATATTTCAGATATTTATACTGAGACACTGCTGTGATACTATGACAACACTCTTTGTCCACTTTGCTTTTCACCTCGTACTGAAAATCACTAATCATTACTATCAACGATCATTCACTTTGTCACATTGTTTTGGCTTTGGGGATATGTATCCAGAACCTCTGTGTGAAAATGTTGCACCTGAAGGGAAATACAGAACTTTTTTTTTTTTTTACTAAGACAAAGTTTGTTTCTAGTTGATTAGATTTTATATTTCCTGTCTCTGTTAAAGCTCTTAAAGTATAAACATAGTATGATTTTATTAGAGTTACACATTCAATTTTATTAAAAAGTAAAATTTTCATAATAATAGTAATTATACTGTGGTTCCATTGTTGACATTTTGAGATTATGTTAAAGCAACACTGTGTAACTTCTGCTGAGCAAGAGCGACCTCTGCAGCCACAGGTGCTAATTAATTCTGTCGGTCTTTCTAACTGATCTACAGTTCGGCATTACTCTTGAACTAGCTGGGCCTGAGTCTGGCAGTTTGAGCCCCTGACAGAAACTCACTTAGGCACTTCTTGCAACACCTGCTCAGCAAAGTTACACTGTGCAAAAAGAGGCAGCATTCTCCCTATTACAAGTCATTGTACCATAATAGTTGATGAGGCAGTTCACAACTTGTTTATGACTCAGAACCAAAAGTGAACAGCTTAGAACTTAAAACTGTATTTCAGTGTAAAGTACAGAAAGATCAATATGAGACTTTTAAGGCTGATGTCAATTTTCAAGAATCTAAAAAATCTGATGATGACATATTGGCTGATATTTAATTATTATATAAACACATAAAATAAATATTTGCCATAAGGATCTTTTAATTTGATTTTGACCAACGGTGTAATGGCAACACTAATTTCTGTACATCAGATACTTATTACTCAACATATTCTGGGGAAAGGAACATGAAAATGTAACGACTGTATTTTATTTTAGGCATGGACTCATCAATAGGAGACCCATTGAGAGGTAAGGATTTATTGACTATGTTCTCCACTAAGTCTTTTGATGCTGTTCTGGTGAGAATATTTTGATTCAAACAAACATTTAATGACTCCAGGAAACTGAGAATTTATTTTATTTATTTTCCTTGTCTCAACATTATAGAAAAATTTGATTTATTATTATAATATTGGGGGAAGACGGTCAGACAAAACAGTTTTCTTATGGGCAGTACATCGCCTGAGAAAATAATCTACAGATTCATTGATTATGAAAATAATCACTAGTTGCAGGTCTATTTAATATTCATTTATTGATAGTTAATAATAATTAATAGTTTCAGGGTTTCTTCTCAAAATGTGTTTGTACAATAATTTTTCTCAAATTAACAAATTTCCATTGTAACTTGATTTTTTTATTAGATTAATGATATATAATGAAAACGTATTGACAGTTTTTCTTTTTCCTCCATGATGCATTGTTAGCTTAGTCAAAACTTCCCAACTATCCTTCATTCTTTAGTTTGACTAAAGTTACATGATGTGGACCTGTTACCGGGTCTGGGCAGCACAGCTGGTGTTAACAGAACACCGGCTGAGGGCTGGAGGATGGGACTGACCTGGTTAGTTTTGGCCGTTTGTTCTGGTACAAGATGGTTTTTATTCACATGAACAATGGCCTGATAATAAAACTCAAAAATGGTTTAAGTGGTTAAGAGGCTATTTTTTTTTTTACCTTGAATAAGTTCATGATGATAACTACACCATGTCTCTCGGAGTCAATGTGGATTGTGCTTTTTGTGCGATAGAAACCTGTTCTATGAGACTGAAATGCTACAGTCTGACAGTCTGAGGCCTTGTTATATTTTCAATTTGTTGTTATACTGATACTAATGTGGTTTGAATTAGAATTTATGTGATTATTGTTTACCCTCTATGACATAAACATGTTAATGTTCTTTCAGGGTGGACATTAACCAAAACACAAGGAGTTTGCTGGATGCGTTTCAGGACTGTCAGGATTTCACAGCCTGTGTCAATCAAAAAAAAAAGGTTGGTGGATTTTAAAAGAAGATGGGAATCAGTATTGAGTTCAGAAGAACTAAACCCAGTCAAACTGGAACCCAAACCAGTCTTAATTAATAAAAGCAGTTATTAAAAGAGATTATATAGCCGATAAAATGGAATGAGATACAATATCTTATATAAATGCGCTCACAGAAAAAATAAAAATAAAAGTTGTACCACTACAGTTCAACAATGTATTTCCTCACAGTTGTGGGATGTGAGGAAGAGATTAAGACAACTACATGGAACTGTTTTGAAATGGACATTCATGCTTTCTCACTTATCTATGATAAAGTTATCTATATCAAAATCTGTCGTTTTATCTTGATCTGTCTTTTATTCTCCAGGACTTTGACACCTTCTTGGCATCTGTTGATGAACAGAAGATACAAGATCGACTGCTAGGTGCATCTGAGATCTCACACAGCTACAACCAAAAACTTCTGGTCATGACTGACCAAGAAAAGTCCACGAATGACAGAGTCCAACAGGAATACAGCATGGATCCTCATTACTCACTAATAGTCAGCAAAGAATGCCTGTACAATGAATCATGCTTACCTGAAGCAGACAGCTATACTGTAGTGAAAATATTTGGAAGAGTTTCAGATGATGGACAAACTGTGTCTGGGCTTTCTGGATCATCACTTGCAGAGCTGGTTTTGAAACCATCACTGGAAGCTGCACCAGTGTTCTCCCTTGATGGAAACACAACCACACATTTCCAGTATAACTTCATTCGAGTGTTGGTGGTCCGTGGAAACAAAGCAGTCTTAGAAACTAACCAGGAAAATCATCAGATTTACCAGGTCATGGATCAACATGACTCAGTGTCCAGCTCCCGAATTCCACAAAAACCCGTAGATCACACCACACAGTACGACGACCAGCAGATCCTCATGATGCAAGATGACCCTGCAGTAAGAAAAGCTGCTGCTTATCTTTATGAGAAGCATCCAACAGTTAGCTCCATCTACGTTCTTGATGAAAACCAAAGACCAAAACTGATCCACGGAGACTCAGTGCCACTGTCAGAGGACAGCAAACTGGTGCTGGTAGGTCATGGAGTCAGAGACAGTTCAGGAGAGATGAGGCTGGCAGGGCACACAGCCCAAGATGTGGCCAAAATCATTGCAAAGACCTTCAGAGTCGGCAATACAATCAAAACAACACGTGTGGTGGCATGTGAAGTCGGATCAGATAAAACATTTGTAGAAACCCTGCTGAGAGAGCTTCATGAAATCAATATCAAGACAGAGCTGCACCTGAGTAATACTGTGATCCAGGTCACGCACACAGGACAGAAAATTACCCAAGAAGTCTCTCTAGACGGGGTGCAATGGCGACACAAAGATGACAGCAAGAAAGTGGTGGCAACCCTTGATAGGAACGGAAACGTAATTATTAGAAATGAGCCTGGCAGTAGAGGAGAGCCAGTTTTTACCAATGAAAGAAATGTTCTAATGGACGAAAATCCGACCTACAGAAAAAGCTGGCCAGAAGAGCCGAGGACATTTGTTGACCAGAATGTTTACCAAAAATTTGACTCAGATATATATATAAGGGAAGTTGCCATTTATACACTTGAGGCCTTGACCTGGGCATTCTTTAAGTCAGACCAACCCCTTCCCAATAAAGTCAACTTCAACAACCTCCAACAGATTAAGGAAAAATTTGTAATAAAAGACCAGAAAGAGACTGATACAATAAAGTGGATAGAGGATGAGCAGGGACTAAAGGATATTCTAAAGGAGTGTTATGAGATTAAATCAGGACAAGATGTTAGAAATGTGATCCGTCACTACGCAAAGACTGGAGAAGATGGGGAGACATACCTGATGGTCAATGACTGGATATATTTGGTTAATCCTAAAACTCTATATGTCTATCCGGTTGGAAAAAAGCTTGACAATAATCAAATGGGAAAGGAGGAAAAAATTAATGAAGTTAAGGGGAGTATAATTGAACAGAAAGGCAAGGAAGAATACAAATATATGAAAGACATAATTCTTCATAAAAATATAGAAAACCCACAAGAACGATATGCTGAGTTTGTAAGAAATATTTTTCGTGGAGAGCACACAACTGCCCAATCTCTGTCCACTGAGGCCTGGTACACCACGTATTTCACTGCATCAGTTATTTGTGAATCTGCTAGAAATTTCCGGACGTTTCCTCTGATTCTCATGGCTCTGGATATGGTCGTAAATGAAAACAACAATATCCGAGAGAAAGGACTCAATTTCTTTGTGAAAGACCACCCGATGGCAAGAGGAGGAAGTTGGATTGATCTAAACAGACGTGGATTTAGTGGCTCAGCAACACCTCAAGGTTCCAGCAAACTGAAAAATGTAAAAACAGAAGCTCAATATAATAGAAAGGTGCGTAATTTATGGCTTGACCTCAAAGGCGTTCTAGAAAAGGAATATGAATTTTTCATAACGTGGGAGCCAACCGTTGCTGGCAAAACTGTAGAAGAATCAATGGCTGACATTGCAGAACAATTCAAGATATATGAAGACAGTTCACAGAGAGAGGTATTCTCAGAGAGTTACAATGATTTCACACAAAAAGTTAATAAACCTGTTTCAACATCATCTAGAAATGTCCAGGAAGATTCAACATCTGGAACACTGGGAGGCAATGATGATGGCTACATAACATTGCAAGACCTGAATTCTGCCTCAGAATTAGAGAATTCCTTCAGACTTGAATCCTATTTCTCCAGGACATCTGCGTCATTTGCTGATCAAATCCACAGCCAGCTGAAGGCAGAATATGGTGAAAGTCTGGCGGGGCTGCATCTCAAAGAGGGCAGTGCCAGAATAGAAAATGGACAGTTCGTATGTCAGCTTGTGACTGAGGGTGCTGACGTTGAACCTCGTGAGTTGAGGGTTGATTTATCTCCAGAGAGTCAACGCTACAGTGATAATATGTTGAACGGCATTGAGGCAGCAGTTCGTGACATGGAGAAACACAGTTCACAATCCTCTCATCAGGTCAGCAAGTATGTAGAGCACACTGGGACTGCTGTTGGGACACTAGGCCTCATGCTGGGGATGAAAGGAGCTGTTCGGGCTTTTGAACAGGGCGACATCAAAGATGGTGTGGTGGGGGCTTTGCAAACAGCTCATGGAGTGACAGCTATGACAACGTCTGTTATTGCAAAACAAGCTCTGTCCTCAGAGACAAGAGTTGCCAGAGCTGCAGCAGTAATCATGAGAAGCCCTGCAATGAGGGGCGCAATGACAGCTATACCAATAGTGGGAATTGGATTTGGGGTATACAATTTAGAACAAGATTTAGAGAGAAATGACACACTGGGATACATTGATGCTGGCGTTGATGCTGGTATGATTGCTTTGGATGTTCTCGAAATTGCTCAGCCTGAACTTGCACCATTTATCGTACCTATAAACCTGGCACTGTCAGTAGTCCGGATGGCCATTGATGATGTTTATATGGGCATCCAGGATGAACTAAAGAATCTCCCGAAGGATGCTGGAGTTTTAGATAAACTGGGGGCTGTTTTTGTTGGCACTGGAGAAGGGATTGAGCATTTTGCAATTCATGTGGCTAGTGTGTTCTATGATTGGCATTATGATGAAATTGAGGAGGGACGAAGACTTGTTGCTCAGATATCAGACTATCAGCAATATTACAATATTACAAAGGAGCGGGATGAGAGAACTGTCATTAATTTTAGTGATGGTGTCTCGTCCTGGAATGGAGGAGGCGTTTACTTCTGTCTCGCTGATCAGGGTCTGTCTGAGTTCTGCATGAACTATTTTGTGTCTAGTGATGAGAGTTTTGGGAAGAATTGTTGGTCCATTGATGCACAAGGAACCAAAGACATCATACTTGGCCTGGGAGAGTCGCATCGATTAGAGTATTCGACACTACGGAAAAAAGTACTCATGTTCATACCAGCTGGCTCTGTGGATGTTGTTTCAGGTTATGAAGCTGTATCAAATTCAAAATATGGGATATACAAGGGAAACAGAGATGCTAATCGTTTTTTTGCAGTTCAGAAATCAGAGGACAAACATGTGATTGAACTAATGTTGAGTTACTATTACCAGCTGTATGGTGAACCAGGTGATGACATATTCTTCCTCGGTCCACAGAGAAATTATGTTGAAGGCTCTGGTGGAAAAGACACGTACATCATTCCTGACGATGGAGGGAAAACAATAATTAACAACTATGATCCTTGCAAAGCACTAGACACTCTTCATTTCAGTGTTGATTACAGTCACATTTCTGTGTCTAAATCTGGGAATGATGTTGTGTTAATGTACGAGGGCAGCCATACTGTGACCATTAACAACTGGTTTTCAGGGGAAGTGTATCGTCATATGAACATGATATCAAAAGATGGAGTCTTATTTGAGGTGTCCTCCACTGTGGTTTCCTCTGTTCAGCTGGTGGCAAGAGGAATTAACAAGATGTTTAAGACGCAGGGTCTAACTGTAAATGCATCTCAGCCACTTTTACTTACAGTTACAAACATCTTTGGGACTCAGTATGATGATGTGCTCATTGGAAATGGAGAGAAGAATCTGATAGATGGAGGAGGAGGCTCAGATCGTTTGATTGGTGGTGAAGGAGAAGACATATATCTGGTGAAAAACAAGAAACAGTCTTCGGTGCAGATTGACAATTACTCCAGAGACAATAAAACAGATCTGGTCATAGTAGAAGCAAATCTTCACACTTTTAAAGTCAGGGTAGAAGGTAACCATGTTCTGATGAATGCTCTCCATGACAGTACAGCCATCCATGTGACTTTACTGAACTGGTTCAGATCACCAGAAGACAGACACTTACTCCTCAGCACAAAGGATCTGATCACTTTTACAATCTCAGATAACAAGGCTGACTGCCTGGAGAGTAACCCGTTCACCAAGTGCATAAAAAGTCGCAGCATTGACTACAGCAGCTCCCCATCTCGTCTGGTGGTGGACCTTCAGGAGGACGAGGCTTTTGACAGTGTGACGGAGGTCCGTGGGTCAGAGTTTAATGATGTCATCAAAGGAAACAAAGAACATAATGTTTTCGTTCCAGGAGGAGGGGATGATTTCATTGAGGGAAGAGGAGGAGAGGACTGGTACGTTATCACACCAGGCCACGGTGTAAAGACCATCAACAATCAATCACCAGATCTAGTCTTAGATGTTCTCTTCCTGAAAGAACAATATCAGCATGTAACATGTGCTTGTGAAGGCCAGAGCATCATCATTTCAGTATCCGGCAGAAGAAATGTCATCTTACAGAACTGGTTTGATTCAAAGCGTCATCAGCACCTGCAGATCAAGACCAATGATGGAATAACAGCTGAACTGATTTCCAACCTCGTCAACTGCAGCAAGTCTGTAATGCTTCCCTTGATTGTTGATTACAGAAACCAGGAACCTGAACCACTTAACACATTCCAAATATTCCAGTCACTCATTTTCCCTCTAGGAGAACAGTCCAGGTGTTTCAGATGTAGTCACATGGCCCAGACGTCCTTCCTTGACCTCCGAGGCAAAGCGATGATGATGAATGAAACTGATTCAGTGAGAGAAATGTACGGCTCCCCGGGTTTCGACATTATGGTTGGGAACAGGAATGAGAATTTGCTTGATCCTTACACCGGTGGTGCACTGATGATTGGAGGTGAAGGAAAAGACACTTACATAATCAGACATGGATATGGAAACATATTACTTATCTGTAACTTTGCTGACGATCAGAATATTGATACTGTGTTGGTTGACATGGATTTCATCGATGGCGGCCAAGTCACACTGGACTCATCATCAACAGGAGACCTGACTGTGAAAATCACGTCAAAAGGGGAACAATTACAATTCATTCTGCTCAAATACGCTGAAGGTTCCCATCACCAGCATCTGGAATTTCAGAGCTCTGATGGAGTGACATTTAAATTGAAATCACTAAACTCAACTGATGATCTTTCCTTTGAGATCGAAGCTTTCAAAGTGACTCTGAAACCATCGCAGATTGACTGCCGTTTGGATCTCAGCTCTCAGAGAAATCTGTCAAAGGTCCATACAGTCCAAGGCTGCCCCTTCCAATCCAATGACATACTAGGTAATCATCAAAACAGTACTCTAATTGGTGGGTGGGAGGATGACGTCTTGGAAGGAGGCCAAGGAGATGACACACTGATTGGAGGAAATGGAGCTGACCTCATGATTGGTGGCTTGGGACACGACACTCTTTATGGTGAGGATGGAAATGACACAATGATGGGGAACTCCGGCAGTGACATCTTCATTCCTGGACCAGGGGCGGATCTAGTGGACGGAGGTCCCGGAAGAGACGCTGTTCTTTACCGGGGTGATCATGAGAAGGGTAAAGGTGTTTATGTCAACCTGTTGACCGGACAAGGCCGCTACGCTGATGCTGAGGGGGACATGTTGAAGGACGTAGAGATTGTGATCGGCACCATCTATTCTGACATCTTGGTGTCTGGTTATGAAAGTTCACTTCTCAAAGGCTCAGACGGCAACGACATCTTGGTGTCCACTGGTGGTGATTACCTGGTCGGGGGTGATGGACATGACGTTTACATGTTGGCTTTCCACCACGGCTCAGTCACCATTGACAACTGTGCAAAGGACAACGCCACGGATGTCTTGTACCTTCCAAGCTTGGTGTCAACACTAATGTGCGAGTGCGAAGTTCTACCAGGAAAAGTTGTGCTGAGGTTCTCGGGACTTAAAATTGCACTGAAATGGACCATGTTTTCTCACGAATGTGGTCATCTGGTGTTTGTTTTGAGAGATATGGAGGTGGAAGTGGAGACGCTGTTGCTTGAGTGTCAGACATTGATGTACAGGATTCCGTTATGGCACAAGAAACGATTGACCTGTTCTGAAATTCTCGGGCTTAGTCATGATTTTGAGCCGCTTTGAATCTGTCTAACCACACAGTAATTTTATCTTACATTTGTCAAAATCAATTCCCAATTGTTATTGTACTTTTATGTTCATTTACCCTTATTTAACTAATGAAGACAAACAGTTTGATATATTCAGTGAATCACAACGACTAACTGTGCATGAGGCTGTAAAATATGTAGTGCTCAGACTATAAGTTACAATCTGGTGTAGGTGATTTTGTCTCCTGAGGCTGTGCAGAACAAATTACAAATACTTTTGCTACTAAAGGCTCACCCTTAAAGTAGCAGCTACTTCCAAGAAGGAAAAAAGAAAAACCCAAGTTACCCAAGTTGGAGTTCCTGGTTAGACGGTCAGCATTATTTCTAACTCACTAGTGAACACATCTGCCGACCTCATAAACAATTTTTTCCTATAAGAGTGAATGCTTTTATGAAAAACAAAAAGAAAAGCTTGGTGATGCATCAACAAGAGATTGTAGCTTCAAGTCAAACGTTATCAGTCCTCATCCCCCTTGGAAAAACCTGGAAACTGGCTCTGTCTTATGTCAGTAAAATATTTCAATTATATAGATGACTTCACACTCCGTTTGTCACATTTTACATTTTGTTCTTCATCTGTTACTGTATTCAAATGTTCAGTCATCAGCCCTTCAAATTAAAAGCATGACAATAATTAATATAAATACTTGATTTATTCTTGCAAATAAAAACATTCTCAAGAATTAAAAAATAAATTGTCCTTACCTTATTTACCTGATGTCTTCGGTGTTTGAGTGAAGTAAAAGTCCAGTCACAGTCTAGTGGCAGCAGTAGATGCTGTGGTTATGATCAATGACAGTGTCCTCAGTCCTCCTGTATGGAGGGTGAAATGTGCCACCAGAATAGTTTCACTTCATCAGTAGTTATTTGATGCACTGGAAAAAAGTACAATTTATATTTAGCATGTCTCTAAATATAAATGAAGGTTATTGTAGAGGGTTATTTTGTAGAAAGCATGAAGTTGTAATTCTTTCTTCATGTGAATGTGGAATTATTGTTACGTTATTACATGAAGTTTTCATTCAGTAGCCAGTGTTGGAAAATCCATTTTGATTATCATTATCCTTCTTACTGCTGTGTAACATCATTGGCCTAGGTGCACGTCTCAAAACACAAGGGAGGTATTTCAACATAATTTATAAAAGGCTGTGCTCTGTTGCATCATTATTGAGTCGTACGTTTCTAGCCTCCAGAGTCAATTACTGCTGATCTGGCGGGAACCACAACTGGCTTTAAAAAAAATCTAAAAGCTGCTCTGTTCTCCTCGGCCGTCATTTAATTATTTAATCTTGCACTTTGATGAGTTTTTATCTATTTTATAATCAGTGTTTTTATACTGTTCTCGTTTTATGCTTTTTACTTCTATTTTAATGCTTCTTTTATTTCTGTCAAGCACATTGGATGACCTCTGTGTATGATGATGTGCTCTATAAATAAATTTGCCTGACCTTGCCAAAAACAACAACGAGCAGCTTGTGAACCATATACTGCCACATTAAATGAATCTGGGCTGGTACATAGCAACAGTTAATCTTCATGGTTCATTGATTGATCAGCAGATACAAATGACACATCTCAGGTTTATTTGGATCAGAAACCAATCCTGGTTTCACAAATCAAAACTTTTACTTCAAGTAAAGAAAATAAAAAAAAAAAAAAAAACAACTTGCAGAGACTTAAAACCTGCTACAGACAGAATGTGTTTAAATCCCTGCAAGTTCCCGTTGAGCTGGACCCGTTCTAAACCGCAGCTAGCAACACAAAGCTAACACTTCAAAATACACAACCATTTACTGTCACCATCAAGTTTTCTTTGATTGCTTTTATGAGGACAATTCAGTTGCTCTGATTAAACCAACAAAGACAAAATCTATTTAAGTAACCATTTATTCATCTGGTCTTGTGAGAATTTAACAAAACGTGGGGGAAGGTATTAAACAGGAAGACAGATGCATATCTTCATCTATCACTTCACACATCCCCCCTTCCACTTCGACATCTGAAACATCACAAAAACGAGTTCTCTGTTGAAACGATGAGCTGTGGGTAGTTTTCTGAAGGTGCGGACATGTTTTCACTTTGGAAGCCCACTGTTCGGCTGAACGAGCGTCCATTTGACTTTACCATATCCATAATCCATGAATCAAAGCAACAAGTCTGGGAGATTAAAGTAAAAATGTGTTATGTAATGGTGCGTGTCTATTTCTTCTTTTTCTTGCTCTTCTTCCCTCCCTCTCCCTGCTGAGAGCTGGTGTCTCCTCCTCCGCTCTTCTGGGTCCGAGTCTTTAGTTTAGGAATCATCTCAGCCACATAAAACATCACGTCTTTACCTGAGAGAGAGTGAAACAAAAACAAGCATCACATCTTTACCTTCAGCAGGTGGCACTAAATCAGGTTCCATGTCACTGCGAGGGGGGCGTGGCTACTTGCAGGGCTATAGCTCAAGATTAGTCAAACAGATGTGTCGTCACATTTCTACTGTAAGGCAAACAAACCTACACAGTTACCACAATGTCACGTGTTACTCTGAGAAATTTTAACTCAAAAACATAATAGTTCTACCTATCTACCATCCATCTATCTATCTACCTATCTACCATCCATCCATCGTGTATATTTATATCTATCTATGGTGAAACCCAGAGGTCGGTTAGGTTGCGTCATTTTTACGGATATAGTTGTAAAAATTCCACCACAATCTCTTATTTCCCGTCATTTTAGTTTTCATTTCTAATGATAATGAGACATATCATATTTAATACCATTTAATTTTCAAAAAACTACTTGGATAATGAATTTAAATGAGTGTGGAGAGAGAAGGTGAATGGAGACACTGAGCACCACACGGAGCAGGTGAAGAGAGGGAACCATCGAGCCAAAACTGGCAAATATGAACAATTTCACTGAATCAGACAATAACAATTAAAATATGAAGAAACTCAGCTGACCTGTTGTAGCCTGAACTCAAACCTGCCTCTGGGGATTTTAAGTGCTTGAGTATAATTTAACAGACTGGGAGGTCGCTGCAGAGGCGACTGACAGCAGGTTTGGCGTCTTTGACTCGGTCAGACGACTTCTCTTCTCACAGATATTTTAATTCTGTCCTGAAGGCTGAACTCTCCTCACAAGCTGGGGAACATTTCACCCCGGGGGAAAAGATCAGAAATCGACAAGAATCTCTGAACTGAAGGATTTCCCGATGCTGCGCCGGGAGGAAATCCTGCAGCGTGCAGGAGCGGGAACAGACGGCGCTCCAAGGCCGTTTGTCAGCAGCCGGACAGGAAGACATGTTGCTCTGAGGGGAGTCAAGTTACCTCCATGATGGAGTCTGTGTGATGCCACAGAACCTGTCGTCCATCTCTACTCTGTCAACATGACGAGTTTTACATCATCGTTAAAGAGATTCAGTCAATGACGGAAAATATTCAAGTAACACGAACGCTGGTGCATATATCCATTTACATCTATCTATCTATCAGCTCTATCCATCCATACCTATATAGTATCTGTCTATACATATCTGCTGTATCTATCTATGTAGTTCCTTTGAGGCACTAAAAGTTTAGCAAAACAATTACAATTACTTACACACACACACACACACACACACACACACACACACACACACACACACACACACACAGCAGAGTGTGTGTAGAACTTACGGGAGCCAAATTTCTCCTGACAGAAGCTGCCGTCTTCCTGCTTCAGCTGAACTCTGACTCGACCTCTGAACTGGACGTCCCTGTTCCACTCTCTGGGATGCATTTTGTTCTGTCACAGACACACACACACTTCAGGGCTTAAAAACACATCATATGATGACATTGTACCGTGTGTGTCTGTGTGTGTGGTTTTTACCTCCATATAGACGTTCATCCCAGCAGCTGTCAGGACGTCTCTGATCTCAGCGCAGGAAGGATTCTCCACAGCCTACACACACACACACACACACACACACACACACACACACACACACACACACACACACACACACTTTATTCACAGCGCTCAAACACTTCACCTCCTCATTGGTTTCACTTTATTCTCAAGAAACAAACTCAACCTGCAGAGTGATCATCCGTCAGAGCCAATCAGAGAGAGGAAGAGTGAATCAGCTCTTACACTGAAATAAAGTTTAATCCATTTGAAATAGTAAAATATTTTGGGTTCATTGTAAACAGGACATGTTCAAATTCACATTCACCTGCTCAAAGAATGTGACAACATGTGGTCCAGACCTGAGGTCGGAGGGGTCAGATCTCATATGCGTCTCAGGTGTGTTCACACCTGAACTTAGAGCTGACTACAGGTGATCAGATCACATGAAACGGATGTTAAGTCTACTTTGAAGTGCCAACAATGAGGCTACGTCCACACTGTCATTTAAAAACGCATCTCATTTCCAACGTTTCCTCCCGACGGCCACACGACTCTGGAGTATTTGAGACCTGAAAACTGAGACTTTTGGAAAATCTGCGGGACTGTTGAAAAACTCTGGGGTTGTGTTTTAGTTTGAAAAACTCTGGGGTTGTGTTTTATTTAGAAAAACTCTGGGGTTGTGTTTTATTTTGGAAAACTCTGGGGTTGTGTTTTATTTTGAAAACTCTGGGGTTGTGTTTTATTTTGAAAACTCTGGGGTTGTGTTTTAGTTTGAAAAACTCTGGGGTAGGGGTGGGCGATATGACGATATTAGATCGTGAAGGATTACAACGTGAAGACGATCTTTCAAACTGCAGAGATCGTGGGATCGTCTCGGGCACATTCTATAAATTGCAGTTCTATGCTGACGCACCGACGCACCAGACGTATTGACGTCGTCAACCTGACCGACCAATCATAGCGAATTACGGGCAGTGACGCGCTTTCCTACCCGCCTCCTTGTTTGTGTGTGTAGCGGTAGCACATGGAGAGTGATGGCTGAAAGCCAAACGGAGTTGGTCGCTAAAACAAATTCCACCTCCATTATATGGAATTGGTTTGGATTTTCTGCAACTGATCAAGCGCAAGCAAATGTAATCTGCAAAGTTTGCACAGAAACCGTTCGCACGTCGGGTGGTAACACAACGAACCTGTTTAATCACCTGAAGAGGAAGCACTAAAGCACTAGCAACTGTTGCACTAAAAGAGAACCACAGTCACTTTAGTTTGTATTTTTGCCTTTCAATAAGCTATTTAGTGTTTTGATAAATAAATCCTGTTTAAATGACTGTCAGTAATGTCTTTGATTGATATTTTACTTTCTGTTGCTACTTTTTGCAAGAGTGCACTTTATTAGGATGATGTTGTTGTTTACGTTAAACTTTACGTTGTTTGCACATGCAGGCAAAACTGCGACTATTTGAAATAAAATCTGTTAAGAAAGGTTCTTTGGTCTAAATTGTCTGTTTTTCTTTTTCCAATTTAAGATCGTGATAAAATCGAATCGTGATTTTTATTTTTAAAAAATCGTGATATGATATTTTTGTCATATCGCCCACCCCTACTCTGGGGTTGTGTTGTAGTCTGGACGGACAGAAACTGAGACTTTGTAAACGATGAGGTCACACCCAAGTCTCTCCTGATTGGCTCTCATCAGCCTGGACTACCAGTGTGAATACAACATGATGATGAATGACAGTGTAACTGACCTTGTTGTCTTTGCTAGCAGCTGCTGTTCACTTACAGTTCTGCTTTAATGCTAAAAACTGTCTTTGCTGTTCCTCTTTCGTAGTATTTTGTGAGACTACCCGGCTCACGCAGGCTCAGTGTACGTGATTGCTCATGTATGTTTTGTGTTTTCAGGTGTGTTACTGTGGATGGAGATCGCTTTCGTTTTAAAATGAAAACGTGGTAGCGTGGACGTAGCCTGAGAGTGCCTGCCAACAACAAGGAGCTGCTCCCAAAGTAAGAAATGAAGACACATGTGCACTTCTTGAAAACAGTGAAGAGTGTAAAGAGTCACCTTCTCTGCAGGGATCCTGCTCTTCAGCCAGCGTCTTCTTACTGTTGATGTAGACTGGATAGAGGCAGATGAACCTGAAACAGACGACGAGCACAGACTGACTCACGGCAACACGCTGAGCTGAGAGGAGGCGTTCAAACACAACACAACACGAGCCAACAGCTGTCGGGTTTCCATTGTAGTTTTGTGCAAAACAGAAGCGATGTCTGTGAATGTTCTGTGTTTCCACTGAGTGGAAGTGTACTGTACAAAAAGCTAAAGAATGGATTAAAAGGAGATCTATTTCTATTGTTGGTGTTGAATTATGGAACAAAGCTAATAAAAATTTAAAAAATGTGTAACTTCCTTTTGGTTTTCAGAGCTGTTTCTGAGGTTACAAGAGAGAATTTTTTCCTTTTGATGGAGGCTTAATTAAGAATGTAGGCAGGTATATATACTATATATATATAAGCATTTGCTTCTGCCTGAGTCTGTTTAGTTGTCTGTTTTTTGGTGTCTCTCATCTATATTGTTTATATTTACTGTATTATTTGTGATGACTGAATAAAAACAACTACTTCTACTAATATGATAGTAAAGCTGGGTTTCCTCCTCTTGCGATATATAATTACAGTGAAGATGATGTTTTTAATTCACATGTTTCCATCACTCATTTTTAACTTTACACACTTAATGACAGACCAGCTGCTCGTAAATAAAGTTTTGGTTTAAGCTGAATTATGACATTATGCTAAATAGACAGTGTATTGCTCAAACACTCAAAACCGTATTGTTTCTGCATTTGCAATAAGGTAAAAGCAAAGACAAATCCACAGTACGTAAAAACATTTTTTTATTGTTTTATTCATTTGTCTTTATATTCCCACATTTTTATTTACTTATTTATTCATTTATACGATCCTGTTTATAATTCCACATTTATTTTCTCATTGGTTTACAAATTTATTATTTTTTCTGGCACCCCTATGACTCCATATATCTTTGGGTTTTGGACTGTTAATCGGACAAAATCTAAATTGCGATGGGGATGTTTTCAGATTATACGACATTTAAGAATATGCATCTTATAAAGTTGAATCTAGTGGTAGATCGAGAAAAGACCTGCAACTATTTTGATAACTGATTAATCCTTTATGTCATTTTTTCAAGTAAAAATGCTGAATGTTCTTCTGTTCCAGCTTTTCAGTTGTGAAGAGTCGCTGCTTGATTTTGTCTTATGTCAGTGGTTCCTGTCCTGTGGGTCACAGGATATGTGGGGTCCATGAGATGCATCATGGGATAGATTAAGAAGAAAAACCAAGTTCTGACACAGATTTTAATTCTTATCCCTAATATTTGCTTTTTTGTAAGAAAAACCATGACAAGTTTTGAGGGCAAAGTTTCCTGTGAAGAGGGGTCACAAGTAGACACTGCTTCATTTCAACAGTTAACATGGCTAAAGGGTTGAGGACACAAACTAAACCCGTGGCCTAAATGAATAGTGGGTGAGAAACTACCAGTCCCTTGATTACTTTAATGATTGAAAGGTTAGTCAAACTTATGATAAATCCCATTTCATAACCGTGTGACATGTAACCGATTTGTCTCTCTGTTGTATTTTACCATAAAGTCCGACATGACGTAGTGGGGGGATCACGAAATGTGCGGGTTTAAGGAGTTTTACACGTCATGCTAAAGGGCTACTGTCCGCTGATCGAAGGCTAGGCCAAACTCCATGTAAAAACTACGTTATTTAAACATTCACAACGGTTTCGGCTACAGATGTTGTAAATCGTGACTTTATGTCGAACTCATAAGAAACGGTTATTTACAGGTGATATAGTGGTAAACATTGTTTATTAAAATGTACATTTGAAATCGGTTTACCACACACAGTTAGCCATTCCCCCAACCACTCACTCCACTACCGTAGTGAGTCGTTTCGGTTGTAGTGACTCGTGTACACCAAACAAGTAGTTTTTGTTTGATTAAAAATATATAAACCCGAATTAAATGTATGCCGAATTGAAGACTGGCCGTTCAAGATCGATACGTTCACCACAGTGACACTTAATAACCACGTTACCTTTGCAGATATCCAGGTTGTGTTTAAATTAAAAATCTCCTATAGGGGTTGGGCTGTTAGCTTTAGCTTAGCTAGGCTAACAGCTAGCTTTTACAAGAACTCACCTCTCTTTATCGGCGGGATTCTGGGTGAGATGAGCCATTGTTGTGGCCGAATCTGGAGTGGATACAGCCACCGACAACACGGTTTGATTTGTGCCGTAAAATCACAGACTGTATATGAAGATTTTTAGATTATTCCTTTAAACGCAGTCTATAGGTAATGCACGCAGCCATATGGCCGCTTCTCTGGCTCGTTCACTGACTGTTGACAACCAGCTGGTGCGCTTCATTTAATGCACCGAGTACGCCGGTCCGGAAGACAACGAGAAGGCGGAGAACCCCCCAGCTGGTGCGGTCACAGTCACAGAATAATACACTAAGTATATAAAATTAATCATAAGAATAACTGATTTAAAATGTATTGAGCAGGTAAGAAGTTACCATCATAAATCTTTATTTCTGGTAAAAACTGCTTCTGCTTATTCTGCTTATAATTATTATTATTACTATTATTATTAATATTATTATTATTTTATATATATATATATATATGTGTGTGTGTGTGTGTGTGTGTGTGTGTGTGTGTGTGTGTGTGTGTGTGTGTGTGTGTGTGTGTGTGTGTGTGTGTGTGTGTGTGTGTGTGTGAAAAATTTAAAACTGGGTCTTGAAGCTCATCTACGCTTACTTCCTTATTGAGAAATTCTGGATGAGGTGGAAATCCAGAGTGATTTGGGCTGTAGCTAATTTTCTGGATGACAATGGAAATCTGTGACAGCATCTGTTACATTCTACCACTGCTCCTCAGGTTGAATGGTTTTAGTGGCCTTAAGAGGGAAACACTCCAGTATTTCATAAGGAATCATGTCTGTTATTGTTGTCTGGACTGTGCATGTCGTATTATTTTTTTTAATTGTACTTATTTTTTGTGATTTACAGTGTTTTAACCAGCCTGTAAAGTGTAAGGCAAATTCCACATCATTGGACAATTATTATTATTGTTATTATTATTATTACTATTAGTTGTAGTAGTAGTAGTAGTTGTGGTGGTGGCGTTTGTGTCGCTTTTTTCTTGTTCGTCATCCTGCCACCTCTCCGATATATGTTGCGTCCTCTCTTGTTAACACGACCCCTATGTTTGTCCCGCTACTTTCCACTATATTGCAGTTCAACGTCTGTCCGCGCGGTGTCGCCGGTGCGCCGACTCTGCGCGCTGCTGAAATGCCCGGATGTTATTGTAGCTAGCTCTTTTAGCAAATCGGCTAGCCGCTGCGACGCCGCTGACTCCTGCAGCTACGGTCTGCCGCATCGGGGACTTTCGACCCTTTTGACTCCCCCGGCCCATAAAAACTGTTTTTTAAAGTCGGTAACTTAAAATCGGTAATTTATCATGATAGAAGTTGAGTGAAGGGCTCGTTATTTTTTGGTCTTATCGTTGATTTTCCAACCGGTTTGGCGGGACTAGATCGGGTTAACAATACGACGAGCTAAGGGCTAAAGCAGCTAGCGCTGAGACACAGGCCAGTTTGTTTTTTCAGGTAGCTAACACAGCTAGCTTAGCAAGCTACCGCGGCTGTCATGGAAGACAAATCTTTCACTAAAGAATTAGACCAATGGATCGAACAGCTAAACGAGTGTAAGCAGCTAACGGAAAACCAAGTCAGGACACTCTGCGAGAAGGTAAGTGGGTTATATCTGCTCGGGTTTTATTCTGACTCAGTCGGCCTCGCTTTCAATGTGGCCTAGATTGCGAAAGCGGCTCCGACTAATTTCTGGAATGAGGGAACGGCAAGGCGGCTATTTTCGCCCCGTTTTCGACCAGTCATCCTGGGGGTTATTAATGTGTCACAGCATCGAAGCTAAAGCTAACTATTTTTTTTATATGTAATATTTTGGCAAAGTGTACTGTCCGGCCCTTCCAAACGATGCTAATGTGGACGGTTATCCGAGAACCGTCGTCTCAGGACACAGGCCGAGAATTCGCATCTTGTACATCATCACCAGCAAATAGACGGAGACCATTTTACTGCCCCTTTATTAACAAGTCTACAGTTTGCGCACACATCAGGACTCAGCTAATGCTTAATTTTGAGTTTTATATTCTTACTTCTGTGTTAAAAGTATATGTATATTAATGAGTGTAGATGGTGTGATTTGCACCGCGCCCTGTCTTTATTGATCAACCGTTTTATTGCATAAACCTGTCAATGAGCCTCAGTTTTCAGGCGTCACCTCCGGATTGTTGCACCATAAAACAACTCGTTCGGTAGCTTTTCTGCATCATCGACATTTAATGTTGTCATAACAGGCTGTTTAACAAAGGTTTGGATCATACCACTGAGAAGCTGAAGGCCGATTTCTTTACTGAACGTGTGGAGGAATAATTTTAGTCCTGTGTGTGTTGAGTGAATGAAAGCAAAGACTCAAAACCTTGGTGTTTTCAGTAAAGCATTGACAGCTGAGTTATTTTCGGGTTGAACAATGTGATGTTGATTAATGGAGGGAAAAGTAATTGAATTCAGTAATATTAAGGTCAGGTAGATCACAATTTGTACCAGCTTATGTGAGCTTTATAGAGCAACAGCCTTCAAGTAGAGCTGAAACAATAAGTTGATTATTCAGTTTGTTGAAAAGATTCACTATTTTGATAAAGTAATAATTTCTTGAGTTATATTTGCAAACAATACTAACGTAAAAATGCCAGATCTTTCCATATGGCAGCCTCTCAAAAGAGAATATTTGCTGCTTTTCTTTGTCATACATTGTAAAATTAATATTTTGACTTGGGTTGAAGACATTTGAAGACATCACCTTCTGCTAGTTGAATATTTTAACAATTCACCACTTACTTGAAAAAAGCAATTGGCAGATTGTTTGATAATGAAAATGTTAGTTGTAGCGCTACCTGCAAATAAGTTATTTTTGCAGTAGAGAAATCTGTGCAGTGATATGTCTTGAAATAACAATAAATGATTGTCCCGATTTAGCAGAGCTCAAAGTTATGACTGTAGATAAATTGAGCTCTTGTGCTCTGTTGGGCTGCAAAATTTAATCATTTTTTCTTTTTGATGGAGAGAAATCAATCTTTTTGTTTTGTATTCAACATCTACAGTTCAGTTCTCACGAGGCGTTGATATCACAGCTATGTCTGAGGACACATGCGTAGGGCTGCAACAAACAATCTGCCTATTTATTTATTGAGATTAACTATGTAGTGGAACACCAAAAACAGTCACTTTGCAAAGAAAATATTGAGTAAAACATCAAATGAAGTCTTTGAATATTTGTTATCGTTTCAGTTTCTGCTCAAAGAAAAACTGAAGCAATTAATCGATTATCATAATAGTTTCTGGTTATTCTTCTGTTCATCAGCTGTGATTTATTGATTAACTGACTGCTTCAGTTCTAGTGGTGGTGTTTAATGATAATTCACCAGCATTAACAATGGAAAAGCACTTTTGGCTGTATGATGAGCAAAGAATAAAATGCGATTGATGGAAATTGCAATGAGTCACGATTTTAGTGGGAATGTAATTTTTTCTGTCTGGAGAATATGATTTCTGGACCAGGGCATTTCTGTAGCACCAAGCCTCAATTATAATTGTATGTTGTGACATGTTTTACCTTTTTCAAAAAAGTGCAGCTCCTTCCATTTGGATATTGCAATTTGAAAATTTCTTGATTAATTGTTCAGACCCAACATGGACTCCTTTTAGGTTTTGGCCTGTTAGTTGGATAAATAAGTTATTTGAAAACTAAATACTTTAAACGCACTTCAGTGTTTCTTAGCTTTTACCAACTCATTTCAAGTCCTGTGAGGACACACAGGCTCGACATCTCAAAGTAACCCATCGGTCTGTCGCGGAGGCTAAACGTGGACGCGTGGATGACATGAGTTACTGTTTGTGTGTCTGTGAAGAGTTTTATTTGACCCTCTGTCTGCTCACACGGTCACTATAGTGTCTGATAAAATGTCTTTTAAAAAGTCGAGTAATTAAATAAATGATCTGTATGTTTGTCTCCTCCAGGCCAAGGAGATTCTGACCAAGGAGTCCAATGTTCAGGAGGTGAGTTTTCCCCACGACGCCCAAGTCTCCTCTCAATATCACAGAGAAATCAAACCCTTACTCATCATCATTAATGGGACAGTCTGGCCACCGTGGCGGCCATGTTGTCCTCATATAGAGCTGGAAGACTAATATTAAAGGAATTAGACATTAGAATCTAAGTAATAAGAAAGTGGGACCTCAAACAGCAACAGATTCGATGCTCTTGCTGAAATGATTGTCAGGCAGGAAATTAAAGTTGATTTTTAATCATCAGTTCATAATATAAATTATTTATCATCAGCCTGGTTAAAGCTGTTTTCTGATTCATAGAAATACGACCCTTTAACCAACAATCAAATACCCTAGTTAAAAGACATGCGGTAGAACACTGTTGGTCAGTTTCATAAGTTTTAGGCATTGTAGTATAAATTATTATTGAATTATATAATTAGTTGGTCATTTGACAATGGAAGTCGATATCAGTCAGTTTTTACTGATTATATTATAGTTATTTATCAATTATATAGAAACAAAATGAAAGAAAAATTTAATTTATACAAGTGGTGTAATCTGTACAGGGGAGATTAACAGAGTTTAATCTTCTGTTTTATACCTTTACTGTAACAGTAAATATGAATAAAGTACAAAACAGTAATCTTAACTACAGTTTGGTATAAATGTAGTAAATGAGTGATTCCAAAACAAAAAGGTGTTGTATATGTTAAACCAGTTAAACCAAAGTCTGTGTTTTTTGATTAGTTTAATTGGAATAATTTGCAGACTCTTTGAAACAAATAAAAATTGCACAAAAACACATAAACAAGCAGAAAAGCATCAGATCAGGACAAGAGACTGTTCGCACTCAGATGGTGTAATCTTCAGCAGCTGGAACGTTTCCAAACTGCAGCAGGAAAGGAACTAGAATAAAAAATGATGAAAGCTTTTTGTGCGAGAGGTCAAGTTAATGCCCTAAACAGCACGGATCAATGCATGTAGGCGAAGATGGGCCTTTTTCCTAAGTGAGGTTCACATGTTCTGATGAAAAGATTGATGCTTCAGTTGAAACCAAACAGTATTTTTACACGTTTTTGTTGACTAAAATTTCTTCTATTCATAATGGATGTTTGTCTCTATATTTTAGAAATAATAAATGATCTGGGTCTGATTTTCAGTGTTGTTCCCTCTGGCCTGTTTTGAGCATAATATGTCTGAACAATATCACACCTTGTTT